TTTTTAACATCCTCAAAATATATCACATCCGGAACCAAATCTATGCAAAAGTAGCTTTTGAAAAGAAATTAAACCAGGAGACAAAACACTAGAAGGAAATGAAAAGTAGTGTGATTCCCCCCCTGCCTCTGTTTCTGCCCAGTTTACAGGGGGGCAATTCCCACCATCTTTCGATGGCATGTGCAAATTGGAAAAATTGGAGCTACATCAACTAAACCCCTGAAACCACAATATCTGGAAACAAAGCCATCCCCAGTTGGATGAATAGGACAAAATGAATCCTGAATCTTAGGGAAGGCTTCAGGGAAGGATTATACCGAATTTTAAAATTACAAATAATCCTGGGCTTGCAACTGTAATTGAACCTGGAATTACAGTTGTGGTTCAGGTTTCACAACCGCTTTGTTTAGCCACAACTTGCAGTTATAACGGTGATGGAAAATTAACTATGTGACCAATCTTCACATGCCGGTTTCTAACGCAAAAGAGTTGGAAAAAAAAGATCCTAACACAGTTGTGGTTTCAATTAGCGTCCACTTTCAATGGCCAGCCCCAATTGGAGTTGTTAAAGGAGGACTCCCTTTATACACCCACACATACACCCACACATATATATTACATTAAGCTTTTTAAAAAGCTTGCATTTCTTACTTTCAGTGTAAAGGAAATCCTCCTTTAATATGCCTATATATGTATATATACATCCAATATACATCAAATTATATACATCAAATTCTATCTATATATAGGATTTGATGCCTATTTTTAAATCAGATTTTTAAAACAATGCTCCAGACGTGTTCTCCTCTGTCGTCAAACTCCTGCCATAGAAATTGCATTTGTCAGAATTATTCCAGCAAGGCTGCTAAGGTTTTTAATTTATCCATCCTACACTAAGTATGTTACAAGTCTACATTAGTTACTTTATATGTCATTTCCCTAACCTGGGAATTATATTCTTATCAAAAGCAATTCTGTACCGCTGTGCATTACAAAGAACTTTGACAAAATTGCAAACAATCAGAGAAGACATTTTGCCTCCTCTTGAGAAAATAGCAAAAGAATGAAGCTAAGTAAAGTGCTCTGATTTAATGCTATTCTTCATATTCCTATATTGATTTCAGGTCCAGAAGGAATGTTTGCAAGGGGAGGTTGAAGCATGTAAAGGGGTTCCGGGGTCCTTGGTGCTCTCTGAGCTTGGTTGGGGTTTTTTGCAAGTGTTTTATTACCCAACTAGGTAACATCATCCGTGCTAGAAGGGGGTGGGATTTGCTCCCTGTTCATATGCAAGCAGTTTGCCCTATCAGTGTCGGTGAGAGTATTCTTGGTGATTTCAAGGCTATTGTTTACTGTTCGAGTGTTTGAGTTGGTAGCTTCTTGATTGGGATAACAAGAAGAGTTCTCCATTCCTCTACTGGTTGCAGAATACTTTATGCCACCAGACTTGAAACTCTAGACCTAGAAAACCTAGAACTACGCCGCCTTCGGTCCGATCTAAGTATAGTATATAAAATCATACATTGCAATGTCCTACCTGTCAATGAATACTTCAGCTTCAACCATAACAGCACAAGAGCAAACAATAGATACAAACTCAAGGTTAATCGCACCAAACTTGATTGCAGGAAATACGACTTCAGCAACAGAGAGCTCAATGTCTGGAATCCTCCACCTGACTCTGTGGTTTCTTCCCCAAACCCCAAAAACTTTAACCTTAGACTGTCTACTACTGACCTCACCCCTTTCCTAAGAGGTCTGTAGGAGGCGTGCATAAGCGCACCAAAGTGCCTACCGTCCCTGTCCTATTGTTTCTTTTATTTTTCTTATATGTATCCATGTATTCATAACTATGTTTTTACTTATACCTATTATCTTCTAAGCAATTGACAAACTAAATAAAATAAAAAATAAAATAAACAAAATCTCTGCTTCTTGGAAGCCTGGCACTCTGATAAATCAAGCCATCAATGGGCACTTGGAGATAAACCACATCTACATACCATTTAAAAGAAACGATCCAAAACCTAAGAGGCCACAAGCCCTCCTTGCCAGCAATCAGTATCCAGGTCAGCAGAGATTAACACCAAGATTAATACTAGACCAACAATCAAAAAATAAACAATACCCCAATCAAGGATATATCAACTCAAACACTAGAAAACAACAACCACAACCTAATCAAGAAACAGCCAAAACTCACCAACATTGGTAGTGACAGAGCGGGACCACAAACAGCCCACCCCGTTCCTTTCTAGCACTGGTGATGTTCCCTAGTTGAGTCATGAAATGTCTGCAAGGAGACCACCAAGGGAGACCATCAGGGAGCACCAAGGACCCCACAGTTCAATGCTTCTCTTCCATTCAGGAAAGTGCTTGCCATCATGCATTTTATACATTTCATTTTGTTTTATGTAATTACATTTATCCGCCACCCATCTCACTATCCAAAACAACTCTGGCTGGCAATTATTAAAGTGCTGCCCTTTTCTTCCCAATACAAGTTACATGCACAGGACATTTAAAAGGTGTGGGCTTCACGCATGACCAGGTGTGGACTGATTTGAGGCCCTCTCCTCCTTTCCATCTCTCTTCCTTGAGAGTGAGTAAAACAATGTGATTTAGCAATGGGGATGAGCCAGTGGTGGGATTTAACTGATGTAACAACCATGTCAAGGCCCTTGTTGGAGTCTGATTCTGAGGGGGAGGTTGAGCAGCCGACAGGGAGTGGGAGTGCGGCTCTTGTGGCTGTGGAAGAAATGGGGGAAGGGTGGAGTCCGGCTGGGCATTCAGAGGAAGACCCAGGGCCACCCCTTCTTCATCGTAGGGCAAGCAAGAAGGAATGGAGAAGGGAGCAACGTGGCTTACGGGAGAAGAAAAGGCCCTGATCCCTTTCATTAGTTGCGGCGGGGAGAGCAGGATATAAGAAGGGCATTTGCACACAGCACCTTGCTGGAAGCAAATCGTGCATTATCTTTCTGGAGGCTTATCTGGGTTTTGGCATCCTCCCAACCGGGTGTGCTTCATTCTCTTTTGGAAGTCTGCAATTTATTATCCTGGCCTGTCTTGTTAATTACTTCAGTGTGGTTTGTGTTGGGTTTTTTTTAAAATTTCTAATTTATCTGTACTTTGGGTTCGGACTGCATTTCTTCCCTTTGTAGACTGTTTTTTTTTTTTTTTTTGGAAGAGCTTATCTCCATCCGAGGATAACTGGACATTGGGGGCCATGTTGGAGGTATTAAAGGAAATTTATCTACTTTTGTGACTTTGTTAGTTAGGTTTGGTGAGCATGCATGCACGCAGCATTTGAAAAATGCCCGTTTTCAGCTCTAAAACGTACCTTCTACTGCAGCCCCGGTGAATAAAACAGCTGATTCACGTGGAAATCCGCTGTGCCATGCAAATCAGCTGAGCTGCCAAACACGGAAATAAAGGACAGACTAGGGCAGGTGGGCGGGGCCAAATGATTACTGGAACTACCGTTCGTCTGAACCGATCCGAACCAGTAGAATCTAACCCCTGGGATGAGCCCATCAGAAGCCCCTTTTCTTCATAATTGAAATTCTTCCTCAGTTACTTGACCTTAAATTAATTGATATTCCATCTATTCTCGACAGAAAGAAATATGGTGGAGAGAAAGAGAAGCAAGGAAAAGGTTCTTCCAAGTGAGGATCACCAGAATCACCAAAACCTTGTGTTTCCCAACCTTGGTCCATTGAAGCGAGGTGGACTTCAACTCTCTGCCTTAGAAGAGTGAGGAAACTTCTCAGGGACGACTCCCACCCTGGTCAGCCCTTTGTTGCTCTCCTACCGTCAGGAAGGAGCTATAGAAACCAGGGCAGTTGCAGAAACAGGCTGAAGAACAGTTTTTATGCGTGGCCTGTCAGACTCCTGAATGGAAAATAACTTTACAACAACGTAGTACAATTGTCTCGTGGGACTGGCACGATGTGCAATAAGTTCACATGATTGTGTGTTTGTTAGTAGGATTTACTGGCTTAGGGATTTTCTGTCTTTCACTGTAAGTTGTATTGTATCGGGGGGGAGGGGTACATGAAGGGAGGCTCAGCCAATCTCATCGTACACATGTTGTCCTCTGACAATAAAAGTTTGGAAAAAAAACCCATTTTTTTCAAGGGACCAAGGCTGGAAAACACCGATCTAGCACCTCTTGTAAAAATAGTTGGGTGAAACATAGCGGTTGCATTATAAAATCATAACTCTACTGGAAGTACCCTCTTTTCTTCCAACTTTCCTTTCTCCCACCCCCAAATCCCTGCAAAATTTCCAACATAATTCCGTTTGAACCAGGGAGAAGAAGCTAGCAAAGGAAACTTGGAGCCGAATGGATGTAACGTCCCCGTTATGCTATCTCTGTAAATCTTGGGAGCTATTTTTGCAGCTTGATTGAAACGTTTCGCCTATTGGTATTATTATTATGGTGATGATGGTTAAAAACGCAGTGACAAATGAAAGCACATCTCTTTCCCAATCGGACAGAAGGCTGCAGGCAAACCTCAGGTCCAAGGGGCAAGCTGAATATTAACCGGCTTCTTCCTTGACCCCAGACATGCATACAGCAATGGTGGTATGCTACCGGTTCAGACCGGTTCACCCAACCCGGTTGTAACAATCAGCTGAAAGGAGAAAGAAGAGAAAAGCATAGGATCGTCCCTCCCACCTGCCCCTGCACTTTTCTCTTCTATATCCTCTCAGCTGATTGGCGCTGCAGGCCTCAGCTGGTGTGGAGAAAGTGGCGCACGCGTGTTAGGTGTGTGCACGTGTGATCACCGAACCGGTAGCAGAACAGGTAGGATCCCACTGCTGGTATGCAACCACAGCAGCTTACCCAAGTCCAGAAGTGCAACCTCTGTGTCCTCCTTATGAGAAAGGCTTCCCCAACCCTCTCACCATCGAGACACCCACCCCCCACACACAAGTCCAGCCTGCTGAATCCAACTTCTGCCCCCAGAAGCTGCAAGCGCCATCAAGCCCAGCCCTTCTCAGCCACTGTGGGAGCCCAGACCCAGGATGGAGAAGGTGGCCCGGTGTTTGCGCAACAGGAGACGTATCTTCTCATCGTCGGAGTCTGGATCCAAGGGCTTGTTGTACTCGTCATCCTCATCAGAGATGGGGCGCTCTCCTGGTCCGGCGCCTGCTTGTGGGGAAGAGGAGGAAGGCTCCATGGCACTCTTCTTCCTCCATTTGGTGCGCCGGTTCTGGAACCACACCTGGGGAGGAGGGGGGAGGGAGGCAAGGCCATCAGGGATCCTTGGGTTTACAAGAACATGGCCTAGACTTGAAGTAGGGGTGGGCAACCTAACAGCCCCTGAGACATCTAAGCCCCTGGGACCCCATCTTAACCAGAAGTTAGTTCAACTGTTGGGCCAATGTGATTGACCCTTTCCAGGGAGATGGTCATTGGGAAGAAAACAGAAAGGAGGAACTGGTTGTCAGAGAGAGGAAATTCTGAGAGCGGTGGCTCTTGGGGAGATAAATTTAGCAGACTTCCTGTTGCAGTTGCTACTCTGCCTTGGAGCACAAAGATCTGGCAAAAGGTTGTACTCTGGACTGAGTCTCCAACTGCATGTTCTAGGCCAAGGGCAGAGGTCTGCAACCTTAAATACTCAAAAGAGCCATTTGGACCCGTTTCCCACAGGAAAGAAAACACCAGGAGCCAATCATTTAACAACTGGTGTGACTGGGTAGGCGTGGCCGACTCCACATCACTCACTCCCACCCAGTCACCTCTTGCTCTGGAATATGGAGTGAGTCTCCATCCCCCGCCATCACCCTGACTTTCTCAGGCCAGGTGAGGAATGACAGGGAGGGGAGGGCTCAGCCAGTGGTGGGATCAGCCGAGGGCCGAAAGAGCCACATGTGGCTCCAGAGCCGCAGATTGCAGACTGCTGACCAAGGGTGTCACCTCAAGGCCCAGGGGGCGGATCCGACCCTCAGGTTGCTTAGATCTGGCCCACAAGGGCTGCCCTGGAAACAGTGAAGGACCAGCCCATGGTGCTTCTGCCAGCGAAAATGGAGCTCGGGAACCCTCCCGAGCTCCGTTTTCGCTGGCAGAGGGTTGCAGGAGGCCATGCCAGCCAAAACCAGAACTCGGGAGCCCATTTTCACTGGCAGAGAACCACAGATGCCCCCGACACAAGTGATGTTGAGTTGGCCATGCCCACCCCATCCTTCCCAAGGTCAAACACAACCCTGATGTGGCCTTCAATAAAACCGAGCTTGACACCCCTGCTCTAGACAATGAATTGATTTGATCACTTGATTCAAAACCTTTAAAGGGCCGAAGTGCCAAGGATTGTTTCCATTTCACTGGGCCATGGACTTTATTTTTTTTTTTAATTGAAATGTTTTCCTTGTTCTAGCATGGAAGAAGGTGCCATTTTCTAAGGCAGGGATGCCTGTGTTATTTGAAGTCTCTTTCCCGCCCCCCCTCCACTCCCTTCGGAACCAACAATTAATTTCTGCTCCTATTTATGAAGATTAAATCACACAATTAACCCACTGACAAGCTCGCCGGATGAATTGGCTGTACGTGCTCCAATGAGTGGTGGCTGTCTTAATGGGTTGTTGAGCTGGGCAGGAGTTTTTAATTATTAATTTAGAGGCAATCCATAGCCGCATTTATTTTTGCAAAAAGAGAGAGAGAGAGAGAGTGAAAGAACAAGGTTCAAAAGGGAGTAACCAAGAAATCAAAGCTCTTGAACTTTGAAAAAGCCATCTCCAGCAGGACCTCTTCCAAATATGAGAACAGAATAGAATAGAAAATGGAATGGAATGGAATGGAATGGAATAGAATAGAATAGAATAGAATAGAATAGAATAGAATAGAATAGA